CTCCTCCTCCTCCTCCTCCTCCTCCTCCTCCTCCTCCTCCTCCTCCTCCTTCTTTTTGGCAAGACTAGTTCATGGGTGATATGATGGACAACCATCTTATTTTATCTCTATTTTGATGTTAGCAGACTTTGATCATGGTTTATATGTGATTTATGTTCACTAGATGTTCCCAAGTGCTAATCATTTATTTCTCAGTCCTTTCTCATTTATGCTCTGGAGCCTGGAGCCTGGAGCCATGGAGGTAGGACCTCTGGCAGGAGCTGTGTTACAGAAAGGATGAAGTCACCTCCAGGAAACAGGACCCAGAGCAGGAAGGACATTGGGAGGAAATGGGTGGAATTTCCCTCCTGTCCTCTCACCTCCTGTTGACAGAACCTAGCCAGAGGACACAGGACAAAGGGATCAAGGATCACCTAGGAGGAGTGGTCAGCTGAGGGAAAACTGATGGGGGTGGTAGCCTAGTTTCCAGTCCTACAGGGAAGGTCAAGATTGGGGTAAAGAGTCCTGGGCACAGAGTAAGCAGCAAAGACCCATAAGAGAGATGATTTTGTAGTTCTCTTGAATCCAATCAATCACATAATTCCTGAGCATATACTATATGTTCAGCATTGCAGCAGAGACTTTGGGGAATACAGAGAAAATTATCAAAATGACTGTTTTTCTGTTCCACTTATGTAGCAAATTCCTTCACTGCCTCAGGTCATTTTCACATGCCACGTCTTCAGCCTAGGATGCTCTTCTCCATTCCTCTCTCTTTGCCCAGTTCTCCTTAGCTTGAAAGATGTCAGGTGGTGGGTACATTGCTAGGTACCTGTAGAGCCAGATTTCGGAGTACAGGCTGGCAATTCCAGCAAGCCTACACATCTGCGTGCCAGCTCTACAAGCAGCTGTACCCTAAGGATGACAGAACCAGTTCCTTTCTGGAACTGCAGAAAGGAACACTCAGATTCTGCATTGGTGGCATCTGTGTTGACTCCCAGACCAGTTCCAAAATGGGGACTGTTCGTGCGCTACACCTGTGCATGTGAGTAGCTGGAATGCTTCATCTACTAAGGAAGGAAGCTCCAGGGCACACTCCTTTACCCCACAGTAATAAAAGAAAGTAACTCCTCAGCGTTCCTCCACTACTAGTGTCTGTTTCTCTATGAAAAACAGTGAGGAGCCGGGCGCGGTGGTGCACGCCTGTAATCCCAGCAGCTCGGGAGGCTGAGGCAGGAGGAGTGGGAGTTCCAAGCCAGCCTCAGCAATGACGAGGCCCTAAGCAACTCAGTGAGACTCTGTCTCTAAATAAAATACAAAATAGGGCTGGGGATGTGGCTCAGTGGTTGAGTGCCCCTGAGTTCAATCCCCAGTACCAAAAAAAAAAAAAAAAAAAGCAAGGAAACAGGGACACAGGGAGATCTGGTAGAGACCTTGGGGGTGACCCAGGCAGCCTGCTGCAGAGGGTCTTGCTCTTAACCCCTGTTCTGCGCCTGCTCTCGCCCTCACTCGCTCTTTTCACTTTCGTTGTGATTTTCTCCTCCAAGGATGTCATCTTTTCACGTCCTGCTGCTGCTAGATTTGACCCTGGATTAAGCGGGAGCGCAATGGAGAGAGGAGAACTAACACCCCTGAGCCCTGACCTAGACCAGCCCCATGCTCTGTCCCTTATGAACCTTTTCATAGTGGAGCCTCCCAAAGCCTAATGATCTGGGACTATCTTGCCATTTTGAGAAGGGACAACATAGAGCGGAGGTGGAACTGGGACCCCTGTGGAGCCAAGCTACAGGATTCAAATTGGAAGAGTGGAGGATAAATAGGTTAGTTTTCTGTCACATACAATTACCTTACAGTTATTTCTTATATGCATAGAGAGATGCTGCATTATTATTATTATTATTATTATTTTGGTACCAGGGATTGAACCCAGGGGTGCTTAACCACTGGGCCACCCTCAGACCTGTTTTGTAATTTATTTAGAGTCAGAGTCTCACTGAGTGTCAGAGACTAGAAGGAAATTCTCCTTCAAAGATTAGCCTGACACCCCCCTGGGAGGCATCCTGCAGCCACCTATCTCCCTGGAACATCCTGCGGTTATCAGGATCATCAGACATCTTGCACCTGGCAGTTTTACCACCCATATCCAGCAATTATTGATTAGAGAGCTTCCCCATCCCCAGCATATAAATACCCCTGTGTGAACAATAAAAGTTTGCGCTTGATCAGACACCTGTCTTGCTGTCACCTTTCGTGTCTCTTGTCCCTTCATTCCTCCCCATCTAGGTTCGCTGCCCACGTTGATGTGTCCTGCCGGACGGGACATTTGGCCCCCGGACAGGACATTTGGCCCCCACACGTTGATGTGTCCTGCTGGACGGGACAACTGAGTTGCTAGGTGCTTCGCTAAGTTGCTGAGGCTGGCTTTGAACTCAGGATCCTTCTGCCTCAGCCTCCTGAGTCGCTGGGATTATAGGCGTGTGCCATGGTGCCCGGCTGCTGCATTATTTTTAATGCTGTAACAAACTGCCAATTTTGTTCACCCCAAGTTTGTGCCTGGCTGGGAGCCTTTGGTTTCTGCATTGTCCTCTGGCCAGTCTCACTTCATTTGAGGGCACACTCAAGCTGTAGGACTCATTGAAGCCTCACTGAGTGGCCTGGCCTGGGGGAAAGATGACAGAGATGAAGGAATGATTGACACCAACTCAGTTTCTCCAAGAGTCTGGGGGTGAGATGCCCTGACCTGCACTAGAGCAGATAGGATGGTGTCAGGGGTTAAGGCTGAGCAGGTGTCTCGGAGGAGAAAGCGGATTCCTCTGGAGGGCTGGGGCTGGAGAGCAACAGTGAGGTTAACACGTGAATTCGTGCATGTTCCCAGCCTAGCAACTGTGCAGCCAAGGGCCTGGCCACATGGACAGCACAAGGTCCCACCACCTATACTACCAGAAAGCAAGAGCCTCAGCAAATACAGTTGGTGGAGCTGTTTCCCTTTGAGGAGACAGAGAACCCGGTCCCCCTCTGCAGCCTGGGGGGCTTCCCATAACATGCCTGAGGGCAGTGAGCCTGCAGATTCACGGTGATCTGCCCTGGTCTGCATGTCACAGGGGACCCCTAGCCCCTGCCAGCCGTATTCTAGGAACTGCACCCTCCAGTGTCACCACTCGGATAACGCTGGGAATCAGGCTCCGTTTCCTTTGTGGGACTGTTTTTCATAGACACATGTGTCATCTCAGCTCCCACAGTGTAATAGCGACAAAGGAGAGAGTTTCTTTAATTTTCAGTATCAAAGGACCACATGTATGGAAAACGTAAATAATTACATTCTCTGGAATGCCCATCTGGCATTCTGGAGAAATCGATTTTTGCTTTTACAAACTAATATGGTGATAATGAGGAGTCAACGAAGAGTTGAGGATTGTCACCCGGGTGGTCCCTTGCAGATGCTGCAGATGTTGATAGTAGGGCAGTTGTGTGTTGGGGGCAGCAAGGGCTACATGGAAACCCTTTGTATTTTTTGCTTAATTTGGCTGAGAGTGTAAAATTGATCTAAAAAGAAAGCCTATTTTAAGAAAGACAAATTAATTTTTAAAAAATAGACAAACAGTCAGGTGTGGTGGCATTCGCCTGTAATCCCAGCCGATCGGGAGGCTGAGGCAGGAGGATCAGGAGTTCAAAGCCAATCTCAGCAACTTAGTGAGGCCCTAGGCAACTCAGTGAGACTCTGTCTCTAAATAAAATACAAAAAAAAAAAAATAGGGCTGGGGATGTGGCTGAGTGGTTAAGCACCCCTGGATTCACTCCCTTGTACCAAAAAGAAAAAAGACAACCAGGCCACCTACTTTCTCAGTGCGCTCCTTCCCAGACGATATTCCTCCGACTCCCTGTAGTAGGTCTGTTTGCCAATCTCTCTTTCCCAAAAGCGCTTGAGATCGTGGCAGGTGTTCCCGCAGAAGACCTCCCGGCGGCGGGCGTACTGATTGTTCATCCCCTGGAAAAGAAAAGAGCAGCCAAACCCTGTAAAACAGGAGCCCTCAGCTCTCCTGGGTACAGAGTCCGTGATAATTCAGACCCACGATTTCCACCAGGGAGACCCTGGCCAGCCACAGGACCTCTGTGAGGGGCATGACAAGGCTCGGCTCACCACTCCCTGTTCTCATTGTCAGGATACCTGAGACATCGATGCAAGTGGAAGGTGGCCCATACCTGAACAGGTGGGCCAGGAACGGTCATTGGCAAACCCCCTGTCCTTCCTTCCTCCTTCAGGAAGAATCATTCCTCAGCTGTTTACTGGCAGGTGTGTGTACCACTAATTTGTGCACCTTGGACCCCCTCAGCCATGGCAGCATCCTGGTGAGATGGGCAGGACCTTCCTCACGATGGGGGACATTTGAGGAATTACAGAAACTTCTTGGGTGTCCCAGTGAGAACTGACAAGGGCAGGCTGTATACTTCTGAAAGTTTTCAAGCCCTTTACTACAGGGGCCCCAATGTCTAACACACCCAGAGCAAGCTGCTTTGAGCTGCACCTGCACACACGTGTGCCCATTTGTACACATGCCAGTGCCTGCGTGTGGAATTATGTATGTCAAATGATCAAAATGCTCTCTATTCGACATGAAGAAACTTTGCCCAAGTACCAGGACTCAGTGAGTTCAGCAGACAGATCAAAAACCAGGGACTGAAGCCAGGCATGGTGGTGCATGCATGTAATACCAATGATTCAAGGGGCTGAGGCAGGAAGGTTGCAAGTTCAAGGTCGGCCTTGGCATCTTGGCAAGCCTGGTCTCAAAAGTAAATAAATAGATAAATAAATAAATAAGATAAAAGACCTGGGAATGCAGCTCAGTGGTGAAGCATGGTTTTCTGAGTGACCAGGACAGTGGAACAGGGGAGGAGAAGAGATGGGTTTGAAGCCAGATGGCTTCTCCAGTCCTGTGTCCCCACTGACCTTGTACCTTGTACTCATTACAAAAATTCTTTGGGCACCAAATTACTCATCTTTAAAATTTCTCTCAAATTCATATTTGATCACAAATGTGAAAAGTTTGCAATTTGTAAAATTCTGAATAAATAGAGGGGTTGACTATCCCTCATCCAAAATGTTTGGAACCAGAAGTGTTTTGGATTTGGGATTTTTTTTGGGGGGGGGGATTTGGGAATCTTTACAAATACATAATAGAATATTTGGGGGACTAAGACCCGAGTCAAAATGTGATGTTCATTTATGTTTCATATATACCTTATACACATAGCTTGAAGGTAATTTTATATAATATTTTAAATAAATTTGTGCATGAAACAAAATTTCAAGGTATGGAATCTTCCACTTGTGGTATCCTGGAAGCGCTCAAAAAGGTTTGGATTTTGGAGCATTTTGGATCTGGGATTTTAAATCAGGGTTGCTCAACCTATGATTAAAGAACTTGGTCTTGGCCCTTTGATTATCTCAGACCATTGTCTGGCTTAGGGACATCACCAGCCAAAGTGAATTGAAAACACTGACACCGCAAATTAGCATGAATTTTCCCTATTCATCCATAATAGTGAGTGTTCATCTTCTTGGGTACGTGACCAAGAATCATTTATCTCTATCCCTGGCCTGTTGGTCACCACTTAGTAATCCTTAGATGACAGGGCAGAAATCTAGGTTTAACAATCCTGCCACGGGTCCATGCCCAGAAAGAGCATTTGGTAAGAGCTTTTATCCCTGTGTCCTTTACAAGGTGAGCCCTGCTATGCCAGGACATTGGGATGTGTCCCATGTGTAGAAGAAGGAAGAAGTGTGTCTTTCCAAGGAATAGCAGGGTTCTCCCTGGGCTGAAGGTTGACATCCCTCTCTACCTCCCTCTACTAGGTCACGTTACCACCTAACCAGTTGTTTTGCTAGAAAATTCTGGTGACACGATGGTGAAAATAAGTGAGATCTTCTCCAAGAAAACGCACATTTCATTTTTAGACAAACACCTTGTCTTCCTTTCTCCCCTCCCCCATGGTCCTCATTATGAGCAGAACTGTAGCAGCTGCTGTTATCAATTTTATAGCTTTCAGGAAACAAAAGTAATGTCAACTTTAGAAAATCACTTTTGGAAAATCATAAAAAAAGAAGGCAGAAAGAAAACACTAAAGATATCTAGAGCCCCTCTCCTCCGCATCCTCAAGGGCTGACTCTGGGAGTAGGCAGGGTCTCCCCTCCAGTGACTTCAGGTATAATGGAGAACGAAGTGGATACAGACTTGTCACAGGCACTGGAACTTCGTGGGACAGCTGCTGGGGCCGGGGAGCATGAGGAAAGTCCCTGACTTGGTCTGAGAGGTTTCAGGACTTTTTAGGGGAAGGACAAGTGGACCGAGGGAGTAGAGTAACCAGGAGCCGGAATGGCCTGGGCGAGGCCTGAGGGACCTGCTGGGCCAGACACAGAAGCAGACATGGGCTCATTTAGGGTAGGGATGCGGGAAGAGACTGACCGCAGAGCGGCCTGGGGCACTTCTTAAGGTGATGGACATGTCCTGGATCTTGTTTGTAATGATGATTACATACATGTCTGCCTTCTCTAAAAATTCTCAGACTGTGCACTTAAAAAGAGGGAGTTTTATTACCCTTAAACTATGCCTCCATAAAGGTAGAAAAAAAAATTCTTCTGTCTTTGGACTAGAGATTCATCCAAGATCCCCGACTCTATCTAACGTCCTGGGAGATTCTGTCAGCATCTCCTCATGAGGGTTCAGCCCGTTCATTCCTCCACAGGGAACGTGTGTTTCTGTGAGAACGGTCTCTAGGATGGGGACCACTGCTCCACCTTGCAGAAGTGATGAGGAGACTGTCATTGGAAAGCCCTTTGGAAACGGGGGATTATCCTAGATAAATAGTTCTAACCCCTTGGACCTCTTTAGCCAAGAACACCATCTACCAGACGGCAGCTATATCAGGAGAATCAGCGTTAACCTCAATGACAATTATGAACTTCGTGTCCCAAAATCAATTAATGATTACACAGTCACATTAATTCAACTCAACAAAACTTGTTGGACTTTGACCGTCTGTGAGGCATCTATGACGCATGAGGGTCCCACTAAAGTTTAGTGATCCAAACAAGACAAAGGAACGTTTGTCCCTCTGGAGGCCCAGTGCTGTGCCAGCAGTTTAATTTCTCAAGTCTCAGGTTACATAGAGCATTAAAGTCAAATTAAGGAATTGGATATTTTTTTTAAAGAGTTTTGGCTTACACTGATCATTCTCAGACTTTTTGGCCAGAGTGGCTCCTTTGAGACCAGCAAAAGGTGCATAGCTGCCAACGTGCTTCGTGCATAGACAGCACCTCATGAAAGCAACTATTTTGTGATTATTTTCCCCAATTTTTATTTATTTATTTTTTTGGTACTGGGGATTGAACCCAGGGGCGCTTAACCATTGAGTCGCATCCTCAGCCCTTTTTTTATTTTTTATTTTGAGACAGGGTCTCGTTAGTTGCTTAGGACCTCATTAAGTTGCTGAGGCTGGCCTTGAACTCAGGATCCTCCTGCATCAGCCTCCTGAGTCACTGGGATTACAGGCTTGTGCCTGACTATTTTTCAGGATTTTAAAAAAAGTTTAAAAGTTTAATCACTTTTTGAATTTTTCTTTATGATCATAACTTAAGTTGAAGGGAAGAGTTCCATTTCTGGGTTAGGTGTAAGGAAAACACACCGCAGCTCCCAAGTCTGCACAGAGCACATGCTGCAGCCCTGTGAGGGCACTAATAGGGACAGTAGGAGGTGGACTGGGGAAGAGGATCAGAGTCTTAATCACTATTGAGTGATGCTGAGCTTTCCATTTTTTTTCTCTGTTATCCCTAGCTGAGTCTCAAGGCAACCTGGTACCCTGATCAATAAACAGGCTAATGAACTAAACAGACAATTCTCAAAATGGCCAACAAATACATGAAAATATTGTCAATGTCCTTAGCACTCAGGGGAACACGAATCAAAACAATCAAAACTACCCTGAAGCCTGGGCGTGGTAGCCCACGCCTATAATCCCAGCGGCTGGGGAGACTGAGGCAGGAGGATCTGAAGTTCAAAGCCAGCTTCAGCAATAGTAAGGCGCTAAGCAACTCAGTGAGACCCTGTCTCTAATAAAATACAAAATTGGGCTGGGGATGTGGCTCAGTGGTCGAGTGCCCCTGAGTTCAATCCCTGGTACCCCTCCAAAAAAACAAACAACAACAACAAAAAAACTACACTGAAATTTCATCTCACTCCAGTGGATGATGAAATTTGATGATAGCATCAAGAATATAAATAGTAAGGGCCTAGCCCAGTGGAACATGACTGTAATCTCAATGGCTCCGAAGGCTGAGGCAAGAGGATCATGAGTTCAAAGCCAGCCTCAGCAAAAGTGAGGTGCTAAGCAACTCAGTGAGACCCTGTCTCTAAATAAAATACAAAATAGGGCTGGGATGTGGCTCAGTGGTTGAATGCCCCTGAATTCAATCCCTGGTGCAAAAAAAAAAAAAAAAAAAAAAGAATATAAATAGTAAGGGATGGGGTTGTAGTGCAGTGGTAGAGCACTTGCCTACCATGGATGAAGCACTGGGTTTGATTCTCAGCACCGCATATAAATAAATAAAATAAAGGTCCCTTTAATGACTAAAAAATATTTTCAAAAATAAATAGTAAGTGCTGATGAGAATATGGAGGAAAGGCACACTTATGCATTGTTGGTGGGATTTTAAATTAGAACACTCTGGAAATCACTATGGAGGTTCCTCAAAATATTGGGAATGGAACCACCTTATGACCCAGCTATTCCACTCCTTGGTTTTAATAGTCAGACATGAATACCCAAGTTTACAGCAGCACAATTCACAATAGCCAAACTACAAAACCAGCCTAATTGTCTGTCAACATAGATAAAGAAAATATGGAATATATACACATGGAATTTTATTCAGCCATAAAGAAGAATGAAATGATGTTATCTGCCGGAAAATGGAAGGAACTTAAGATCATTATG